CTATTCTTCTCTCTGTCAGTGTGTATCAGGGGCTCTGAGGACAGGTGTCAATCCATATCTGCCAAGTGACCCTATGTAGGGGAACAGTCTCTATTCTGCTCTCTGTCAGTGTGTATCATGGTCTCTGAGGACAGGTGTCAATCCATATCTGCCATGTGACCCTATGTAGGGGGAACAGTCTCTATTCTGCTCTCTCAGTGTGTATCATGGGTTCTGAGGACAGGTGTCAATCCATAACTGCCATGTGACCCTATGTAGGGGAACAGTCTCTATTCTGCTCTGTGTCAGTGTGTATCATGGTCTCTGAGGACAGGTGTCAATCCATATCTGCCAAGTGACCCTATGTAGGGGGAACAGTCTCTATTCTGCTCTGTGTCAGTGTGTATCATGGTCTCTGAAGACAGGTGTCAATCCATATCTGCCAAGTGATCCTATGTAGGGGGAACAGTCTATTCTGCTCTGTGTTAGTGTGTATGATGATCTCTGAGGACAGGTGTCAATCCATATCTGCCAAGTGACCCTATGTAGGAGGAACAGTCTCTACTCTGCTCTGTGTCAGTGTGTATCATGATCTCTGAGGACAGGTGTCAATCCATATCTGCCAAGTGACCCTAAGTAGGAGGAACAGTCTCTATTCTGCTCTGTGTCAGTGTGTATCAGGGGCTCTGAGGACAGGTGTCAATCCATATCTGCCAAGTGATCCTAAGTAGGGGGAACAGTCTCTATTCTGCTCTGTGTCAGTGTGTATCATGATCTCTGAGGACAGGTGTCAATCCATATCTGCCAAGTGACCCTATGTAGGAGAACAGTCTCTATTCTGCTCTGTGTCAGTATCAGGGGCTCTGAGGACAGGTGTCAATCCATATCTGCCAAGTGACCCTATGTAGGGGGAACAGTCTCTATTCTGCTCTGTGTCAGTGTGTATCAGGGGCTCTGAGGATATCTGCCAAGTGACCCTATGTAGGAGAACAGTCTCTATTCTGCTCTGTGTCAGTGTGTATCAGGGGCTCTGAGGACAGGTGTGTCAATCCATATCTGCCAAGTGACCCTATGTTGGGGTAACATTCCCTATTCTGCTCTGTGTCAGTGTGTATCAGGGATCCTTAGGACAGGTGTCAATCCATATCTGCCAAGTGACCCGATGTTGGGGTAACATTCCCTATTCTGATCTGTGTCAGTGTGTATTAGGGGCTCTGAGGACAGGTGTCAATCCATATCTGCCAAGTGACCCTATGTTGGGGTAACATTCCCTATTCTGCTCTGTGTCAGTGTGTATCAGGGATCCTGAGGACAGGTGTCAATCCATATCTGCCAAGTTACCCTATGTTGGGGTAACATTCCCTATTCTGCTCTGTGTCAGTGTGTATCAGGGATCTTTAGGACAGGTGTCAATCCATATCTGCCAAGTGACCCGATGTTGGGGTAACATTCCCTATTCTGATCTGTGTCAGTGTGTATCAGGGGCTCTGAGGACAGGTGTCAATCCATATCTGCCATGTGACCCGACATGTTAAATATTCCCTATTCTGCTCTGTGTCAGTGTGTATCAGACCACTGATAGGAGATGCGGAAGGTATTAAACTGATAAAAATAGTACTAAACACACCACTCCTATCTGGTGTCACATTAGCTTGACCGCGCAGTGCCTCAAATTTGCAGTAAGAGGACCGACCAAGCCTCTTCTTCCATCTCCCTGTTACAAAAATCAATGCCGTGTACACGACCACTGATAGGAGACGCTGAAGGTATTAAACTGATCAGAACAATACTAAACACACCACTTTTTTGGTGATATTTACAGGACAGAGTGCTTCTCCATCGGACATGCTAACCACGGGCAGCTTGGCTCATCACACAGCAGCTTTCATGTACAGGTAAGACAATGGCAGCCAAGGGTTCAGGTTTTTCTTCCTGAGGATACTGCAAGCCTGTTGAACGAGGTGACTTTGCTCGGGTCCCAGGTGTACGGTTCCTAAAATGGCTGCCATATACACGTCCACTGATAGGAGACGCGGAAGGTATTAAACTGATCAGAACAATACTAAACACACTACAAATAAGGTTTCTCTCCTGTATGGCTCCTCAAATGATGCTTAAGATTAGAAGCGGCTGAAAAGCATTTCTCACACTCCGAACAAAAATATATTTTAACATTCTCTCCACTTTGAACGAAATGACGTTTGGGAAGAGATTAACATAATTAAACACAGGCAGTAAAAATACAGTTTTTAGCCATACCCTGTAACTTTAAAACTACACATCCCATCTTCATAATTACATATTTGGAATCAGCACACTTAAACATAAACATAACCAAAAATCAGCCAAATCCATCCAGGGGTTAAAAAGTTAGCTGGAGGTCCCTTTATGACCGACCGCAAGCACATTTTCCTGCCCAAAACAGTTCCATAGATTTGGCTGTGAGGGTCGGTCTATTTCAGGCTGAAAAGACTAAGTCCCATCGCGAATGGGACTTAGTCTCTGCAGCTGAAATAAGGCTGAAAAAAACGGGTTGAAAAGACTAAGTCCCATCGCCGAATGGGACTTAGTCTCTGCAGCTGAAATAATTTCCCATTTACTGAACCAAGTGGGAAATAGCAAGGCAGGCACAAAGGGTTTGCACCAGGTCTGGGGACACAGGGGACACCGTCTTAAAGGGGCCGTGTCCCCAACAAGTCTGGGGACACGGCCTTAAAGGGGCAGTGTCCCAATCTTCCTGATGTCCCAAAAAGGTGTTTAAAGGGCCAGCACCAGTCACATAAAGAGTCCATAAGCCCCAATATGCCCACGACAGTCTTAAAGGGCCATACACACCAAATAAAAGTGCATACATTTTCACAATCTCCCAGGGGCCATAGTCATGCGGGAGGAGGCTGGCAAATAGGCTTCTCCACAACCCAGGGAAGCAGGGCAATTTGCCATCTAAAGGGCCCGTTACAAATAGCAGTTTGTAACAAGGTGTCAATCCATATCTGCCAAGTGACCCGATGTAGGGGGACCAGTCCCTATTCTGCTCTGTGTCAGTGTGTATCAGGGAACCTTAGGACAGGTGTCAATCCATATCTGCCAAGTGACCCGATGTAGGGGGAACAGTCCCTATTCTGCTCTGTGTCGGTGTGTATCAGGGATCCTTAGGACAGGTGTCAATCCATATCTGCCAAGTGACCCTATGTAGGGGGACCAGTCTCTATTCTGCTCTGTGTCCGTGTGCATCAGGGGCTCTGAGGACAGGTGTCAATCCATATGTCAGGTGTCAATATGTCATATGTCAGGTGTCAATCCATATTGATTGTGATTTAGGAATGTTAGGTGATTTCTGCCCTTTATGGATTAAAACCAGACTCTACATCAACTGTGTAATTTTCCATGGGAGTTTTGCCATGGATCCCCCTCCGGCATGCCACAGTCCAGGTGTTAGTCCCCTTGAAACAACTTTTCCATCCCTATTGTGGCCAGAAAGAGTCCCTGTGTGTTTTACAATTCGCCTCCCCATTGAAGTCAATGGCGTTTCGGGCGGTTCGCGAACATTTGCGGAAGTTCGCGTTCGCCGTTCGCAAACCGAAAATTTCGGGTTCGCGACATCACTAATTACTACCCACATAGTCATGTGGCCTTGTTAATGTGCATGATTGATACACCTAAATGATGCTCTCTTTTTTCTGGTAAAGCATGTCTTCATAATAAAATAACTAAAATGGGAGCAAAATGGGAGCGCATGTCTATAGAATTTCCTAGACAGTTTTTATGTTGTAATTCTGTTCAAAACCAGCAGCCTGAAAGCACTGCTTAGGTGGTACTGCCCTACAGCTCTGAACGGGAGCTCATAATACTATGTCTGGACTGCAACCAACTTTTTAAGGGCTATCAAGCAACTGTTTGTTGATATTGCTACAGAATAACAATCCTTACTAACAGATATCATAGCCTGTCATTCTAGGCTAGAGGTAAGAATTAACCTTATTTTGTTTCTTATTGTTTCTATGTATATACTTCATTTTTTCATGACTTTGTGCATCTTCGATTCTGGGATTTTGCAATATTGAGTATGTTTTCTATTTATTTCATTGTTCATTTTTTTCTTTTATTCTGTTAGTATTAAAAGTTAAGTTTTAAACTCATATCAGCTACTACTAGGTTGGGTAATTCCATCCACTTTTTTCTGTTTGGCATGTCTTCATAATAAACATGAAAGACTTGTCCATATGAGCAATTGGGCCTAAGAACCACCAGTTTTTCATTTAAGAAAAAAAGTAAATAAATAAATAAAACAAATCTATCGCAAGTGGTAAGAGCTTCTAATGTTTATTT